AGATTCTTAAGAATGAATACATCTTTTCTTAGTACAGCCCCATCGTGTGCCGGATGGTCGAATCCCCTGCGCTTGATGGGCCAGCCCGGCCATACCCCCAAAGATGTACCAGGAAACGCCCATTAGTTTCTTAGAAAGTAATATAGCATTTCGTGGTACACTCGACTTCTGCGCTGGATTTTTGGGATCCAGTTTTAAGGGGCGAGCCCGGCCATACCCCCAAAGATGTACCAGAAAACGCCCAATAGATTCTTAGAAAGGAATTCAGCATTTCGTGGTACACTCGACGTGTGCGCCAATAGCTAGTAGAATCTTAAATGCCGATGGTGCGCTGGATAGCTCGCATTCCGTTCGAGGGGCTGCAAGCCCAGCCATGCTCTATAGGATGTACCAAAAAACGCCCAATAGATTCTTTAGAAAGTAATGCAGCATTTCTTGGTACACCCCGATTGTGCAATGGATGGCTGGCATTCCGACGCTTGAGGGGCTGCAACTTGCCCACCCATGCCTTACAGTATGAACCAAAGAACGCCCAATAGATTCATCAGTCCTGACTGTGCGCTGGATGGCCGGAATTCCTTTGAGGGGCTGCAAGCCCGGCCATGCCCTGCGGGATGTACCAGGAAATGCCCATTAGATTCTTTAAAAGTAACACATGGTTTCTTGGTACATTCGGATCTGCGCTGGATGGCTAGCATCAGCACACGCTTAAGGGGCTGCAAGGCCGGCCATGCCTTGCAGGATGCATCTCCACTTTGCTTCGGTACTGATAACTCGATCGATAACACCAAGTACAACCCGGCTGACAGACTGACAGCTTATAACTCCTACAGCCATACAGCTCGACTCTCCAAGTGAAAGCGACAAGTTGATCGAAAGCAAAACCAATGCCGCATTGCTTACCTCTTGCTCGAAAAAAGACACGCTTACTTCCGCCTTCCAGCTCGCTGTGGCCGGGCCGCACAAATGCAGCCCTCCGCGGCCACGAGTCAGCCAGTTGCCAGTGGCAAGTACAAGCCCATACTGACTGCAACTCCGACTTGGCGGCGCATAGCTTATGGGTGTCAGGGCCGAACCGGGCACTTTCTGTGCATTTCAGCCGAATCACAGATCGACGGCGCTCGGATAAACCCTGGCCATCGGACGGCGATGAGAGTTGGGTGGAATTTGAGACTCGCGCCGCGCCCCCAGTTTCGGATGAGCTGGCGAGTCGCGGCCGGCCGCGTCCGTCCGACGCGCGGCCGCGACGAACGTACTGTTCGTTCCGTCCGCGTCTCCTTGCATTCCGCTCAAATCTAAGTCAGACTCAGACTCGGACTCCAGTGACTTAGACTCAGAGCTCTGCTTGCCGATTCTCAGCTGCAAATTGAAGAAAGGAAAATTGAAACCAATGCAGCAGCTAGGACCCTATGCAATTGCGCCTCCTGACAGTGAAAGCGCAGCATTGACGGTGTCCTGTGCCAGTATCCCCTCAGACAGTGGTCCATCGGGGCTTTTGTGGTGGAAATATGAGTCCAAGCACCACCACACCATACCGCCAACACTGGTCAAGTTGCAGGGATTTGTTTTCCTGATGCCACAATGAAGGGTGCTGAAATGCATTGGGGAAGGCCTTTTCTGTCCATCAACAGTCTCCCTGATGCAGTTCTTGTCCATATACTCTCCCAGGCACCCAAACTTCAGGACTTTTACAATTTTCGAAGGGTTTGTAGGAGCTGGCGCGTGTTGTCCTCCCAGATTGAATGCCTTCATTTCAAGCGGCTGAATGGGAGCAAGTGGGCCAACACCACTCCCTTGTTGAAGCAGCTGCCAGCACTCAAAGAGCTGCATTGGGGGTCAGCAATTGAGCCCGAGCTTTCTGATCTGAGCAAGAACCTCGTCAATCTGCAGATCCTTTCGATGTGGAGGTTGACAGGGGAATCGCTGACGAGGCCTGAGTGGGCGTTTCAGCGGCTTGTCTCGTTGACAGTTACGGTTTTGAGAATGACGGTGGAAGAGTTAGAGACTCTGCTCAAACGGTGTCCAGTCTTGGAGGACCTCTCCATCGGTCGTTCCATTCTGCAGAAATGATGGAGCAGAATGGCGGATTGGAGGTTGCTTCACCATCATTGAAGAGGTTGGCAATGGAGACCAATGGTGTCCAGAACCTGTTTCATGCAAAGATAAGGGCGCCTGAGCTGAGGGAGTTGTCCCTTCCCTCCTTCAAAAGCATTCACCTCAAGGAACATCAACTTCAGAAGCTTACCCTTTCCACAGACGGCGTCAACATGCCTTACAAAGACCGCCTGTCTCTTGAAAACATTCGTGGCCTTGTAGTCAAGGTGCATCGAACCCCGCAAATGGACTGGGACGCTGCCTTGAAGAATACCATCGACCACTTTCCATCACTCAGCAGTCTCGTCTTCGAGTACAGTGGCAGTTCTGAGTGCTGGCCTGAGCAGCAGATGGTTCCCGTGACACGATTTGCTACCATGCTCATGAATCTGACAAGCCTCACTTTGATAGCACCAATGCTAGTGATTCTGCGAGTGATTTCTCCACCTAGGTGCACGGAATCCGGGCACAGACTCCCTAGACTTGTCAGACTAGAGTGCGGCGTTCCGCACCCAATGACGGATAGTTGCTTCAACGCCTTGGAGTGGCTGTTGATAAATGCCCCGTTGCTCAGAATTCTGGTTCTGAAAGCAAGGAGCAACTTGCTCGGGAAGGCAACTTTGACCAGAGTTCTTGCGCTCCAAAGAGAACACCCTCTACTCAACATCAGCTTCCAATGATAGGCTCTAAGGTAAGGAGATCAGATTCGCAACATTTCAGCACCCTAGCTTATATTTTGCGCATTCATGGTCTTGACACAGTTGTTGCAACAAGAGATGGAGAGGTCGGTTGACTGCGTATTTTTTGCTTTCTAACCGTGCTCCAATCCGATTGTTTCGCATGTTGCGGAAGAGAGATGCAGCCAGAGGCACCTGTTTGGGTAGGTTTTCCTTCGCGGGTGTACTGCCCGGTTTCGCAAGATGATGTCGCAGTTTGACCTCAGAACGAGGTAGTAAGTGCGCTTCCAGAGCTTTACACCCAAAGAAGGTTAGGTGCTTCAAGTGTACCTTTTGGCCCTCCAAACACTGAAAGCAAATCACTGACTACGGGGGTTGTTTTTGCAGGAGAGAATGTTCTCGGAGGCTGAGTACGCATTGTGCCATCGCATGACGCGCTAAACTGCCACACTTATCACCAATACGACTGCACGACCATTTGGCTCAGGAGTCAGGCTACACTTCTAGCTTCTTTCGCAACCTGTTGCTCAACTATGGTAATCAGGAACGACAGGCCCTCAATTCGCTATAACAGCTATGGCCCTCTTGTCACTGAACTTTGAGTCGCACCAGGCACATCTTACTTTTTCTGAACTGCATCAGACGCTTTAAAATTGGTCACTGGGCGCCGCAGTCTAATTGAATTGGTATAGATCATGCATGTACATATGTGCATCTTCATTTCAAGCCAAGATTACATGAAGATCGAGTTGCAATGAATCGAACATACCAACGGGCGGCCTGCGCTATAGTATCATAGAATAGGCTCTAGAGCTGCAGCCTGCCATATGTTCATGCGCGCGCGCACGGTTGCATATGATACCATGGCCAAATTTTTCCATCTAACGACACGTATGGGCATGCTGGCGACCGTATATAGCTGTGACGCGCCACCTTGCCACGTACCCGCTGCCCGAGGCACCGAGGGCCCCTAGCAAATTCCAATTACGAAATCCTTAGTACTTTCAACCGTCCAGATCAAATGATTTATAAAATTTCCTGGCAAGTCCATGCTCGAACGTACGTAGGATCGATATCCATGAAGCACAACTAGCTAGATATGTTGACATTGACCTGCATGTTGCTGTGGTCAACACCGCGCGGCCTGCATTCAAGGCCATGAGGTGTGCATCATGATAGATGAATGTTCACTGCACTCAAATGAACGTACGCTGGCCCTGCTATCGACTTGCAACTTGGAGGTGTTTTGGCGATCGTCATGGGAGATGCAATGCGCGAGCTTACCAAACCCGACCCGCCTCTCAGGCCGAATCGCGAATGTGACTGACCCTTGAAGAGCTTCTAGAAGGCCATATCGGCTTTAGCTTGTTCAACATCAGCATTGATCGTCGACAAGGCTACACTCCGCTTCTCAACAATGCAGGGGTAAACCAGCTCTACCGCACATGTGCAGTGAAAATATTCCCGTGTTGCTCTCCAAACATTGCCAGACCTTGTATTATGCACAACGTGCAACTCCACGGGGAGACAACCGTTCCTGCAGATTGCTCTTTAGGAACTCTTTGATGTGTGCCTATGCACACGCTCTACGAGTCAATTATCTACTACCTCGGGTGCGGCACCCAACCGTGCAACCCCGCCTGTCCTGCCGTTAATTGTTCTAACTTTTGTACAATCATCCGTAACCTTTGTATACAGGTTCGAAGGCTCGTTGCAAGCATTAATAGGTACCGAACTGGGCACCCATGCACAACGACCCTCGTTATAGACTCAGCTTGTCCCGCGAGAGGGGCCGGGTCGGCTTCTCTGAAAAGTTGCCTAACGTGCAGCCTGAACATATCACCACAGGCAACCCCGGTCTCTCTTCATACAGCTGTCCTTCCCCGCAGTCCGGAATGAGCCCTTCGACTCACGTCCACTTCTCCCTGCAAGGTTCTGGTCTCCAATCACGAACCAGTCAACGCTCAACTAATCATTATCAGAGGAGAGTGCCTCATCAGAGGAGAGTGCCTCCTCCTCGCACCCATCTTCGAAGGTGGTATCCCTTTGTACCAGATCAGCTCAAGATGCTGCTCAGAAATATCTACAACTCGTTGTTTGGATGTGAACCTTAGCCTCCCCGACTCCTTGCGCCTGCCCCGGTAAACCCCCGGGACATGGACCGCCGGTTGCCCTCCTGCCATTCTTTGATCGCGCTCCGGATAATCAGGTTCGGCGTGAGAAGCAGGTTTGTCACAGGCACATTGGTGAGCGGCGACGTGCGCTTGCGCTGGAACCACCGCGCGATCTCGGCCCGCTCGTACGTGTTGCCGTCGGCAGCCACGACGGGATCTTCCATGATGTCCTGCACGCGCGCACCGTACTTAGGGGTTAGGCTAGGTTAGGAGTCAGGTTAGAAGTTAGGTTAGGTTAGGTTTCAACGATGAAACTTCTTAGAAAGAAGTCTCGGGTCGGCCCTCCCTCTTAGCCCAGGGAGACGGAAAGTCCTCTCGTTGTCTTGGGGGCTGACGGGCTTTTGCCCCAAACTAAAGAACACAATCTGCATTATGAAGTACGAAGACCTTGGATGTGAAGTCACAAGATTCGTTGGTCGCAGAAATCAAAAACGAATTTTGGCAGTTCGATTTCTGCAGTCAAGGAAAAGTCAAGCTTCTCGAAGCTTTTCTCCCGGGGAAAGGCAAGAGGAGTCGAGAAGCGATTGACGTGCCATGCGACTGGTGACAGCCGGCAGCGCCAGCCCCCTTTGCAGTGTTAAGGAAACCAACTCGAGCAGCACAATTAGAACTCGATTCCACGTAGGGGAAAAGCCAAACCAAACTGAACTTCTGTCGGCCGTCCTTCACTCCCAACTCAAAAAATGTTCTTCAAAGAAGCTCCGCCGGCTGAACGAATCCAAGAAATAGCTGAAGACCATAAAATTCCGGACCCGTGAAAACGCCACTGAATCTGGTGAACAACCCCGGTTTCACATGTTGCTCCGAACCGTTCGCAAAAGTAGATCTTGGAAAGGTTTGCGGGGACTTACATGGCTGATGGGGCACAAGAAAATGCTGGGCACAACGTCCTCTTCCCCGGTCGCTTCTGGAGTCGCCCCCTGGTTGAGCCCCTGGCTGGCCTCCCGGGCGGCCGCTTCCATGGCCAGGGTACGCGCCGCCTCTAGTACCGGCAGAACCTCTTTCTCCAGGTCGGGCCGGTCGCGGCGCCGGATCTCGGCGCACTTGAGGCCCAGGTTGGCGATCTGCAGAGTGGGAAATGTTGTGGGTGGTCGCCGGTTGGACGGCGGTTGAGGACGGATTGAAACGAGTCGGGTAATATCGCATTAAAGAACCGCCGGGAACCTTTGACAAATTCCAGAACTCTTTTGAGGGTTTAGGACATGCGACATCGGATTGATTGTTGAGGCAGGAGCGGCGACTTGCAGAACGCCAAACCCGGATTTCACAGGGTATCAGCAAGTTCCTAACCCGCCGACTCGACTTTAATCAGGCGGCGGCAAAACAACTGAAAAGACTGCAGAGAGATTGGTACAGCTGCTGCGGCAATGACAGGCCCTCCGAAAGCAGAAAGCGCGCGATAGATAATCAACCCGAAAACAGTGAAACTTCTTCCCATCACTCACCCCCGTCACTACGCACAGGTTTCGATACCCAGGCGATCGCATCTAAAGAAACGACTCACCTTGGTCGCCACCTCTTCCGGCCAGCTCCCCGCCGTTTGGTCGACGACTGGCAGGACGTTTCCTTCGTCAAGGGCGTCCTCGACGGCGCCCACGATTCCTAGGGGCGGCCGGTTGGTGAGGAGCTGGAGGAGGCATATGCCGAACGCGTAGACGTCGCTCTTCTGGTTGAACGTGCCTTTCTGCTGGTACTCTGCGGCAAAGGAAAAGGGAGTGAATGTGGGTTCCCGGGGCGAGAAGCGAAGGCGAGCAGATTTTCAACTTTGATGCGGAATGGTTGAGAAAGCCACCTTCGCCAGTCTTACCCCGATGGTTGCGTTTCCTCATCAAAACGGCTGCATTGTCGGACAGACTCGTTATCACGGAATTCACCAATGCCTTCCATAGCAACTCACCATGGACTGGTTTCTGCTGGCGCTACACTTACATTCGAGAACAATACACACGAAGGCAGATGGACAATGTAACTCTTCGAACCGAGTCCAGATGCGGACAGCAAAAGCACCTGCTTCCATCCGACAAGCATGTACAGACCTCACGACAGACCCGGATGCGCAGGAACCGTACCTGGATCTATATACATGGGGGTCCCTTGTGGGCTGGAGTCGAAAATTGACGTCTGCGCCTGCCTGCCTCCACCACGCCGCCGCGTCATGCCCGTGAACGTCGCGGTCGCGAGCTCGGGTGCCACGCTGGCAATGCCGACGTCACCCAGCTTGGAGGTCAGGTTCTGGTCGAGCAGGATGTTGGAGGGTTTCAGGTCCTTGTGGATGATGCTGGGGCGGGAAGTGTGCATGTACAGGAGGGCGACCGCGACCTGCAACGAGAAGGAGGTTGGGTTAAAAGCGGTCAGGGGAAGGTTAGAGGTAGTTTAGAGGTTTTATTGGACGGGTTAGACCAGCAAGTTCAATGAGCTGGGTGCCTCCATTGAAGGATGGGTCGAATATTCGCGCTTGAGTTTCAAGACTTGGTTGGTCAAAAGTGGCTGTTAAGTATCTGTAAATTGACCTCCGGCAACGTCTTTGGTTCTCGAACTCTGCGAGCCCTGCACGTCTTTCCCCAATGTAGAACCTAACTAGACAACAATTGACGAGCTTCCGCTATATTGTTCATGGACAGCAGACGAATACGTAGGGCCTCACCTCGAAGGCGATCCTGATCCTGGTGAACCAGGGCAGCGCCGCCGAGTCGCCCTTCCTGGCGAGGCGGTCTTCCAGCGACCCGTTGGCGCAGTACTCGTAGACGAGGCAGCCGCGCTCGGGGCAGCAGCCCATGAGCATCACGATGTGCGGGTGGCGCAGGCCGCTCAAAATCTCCACCTCGCGCTTGAACTCGTCGGGCCCCTGCGAAAGAGAGTAAGGAACCGTCATTAAGTCACCTAAGACCGCATGAAAAAGCGCTTGAGAGAGGGTGATGGCCTGCAGGTGGCACATAACAAAGAATTGTGCACCAGAATTTGCTCTGGGTGATGAGAGAACGACGACGCAAGCAGTCCAGCTGAAACTGGCTCGTCGTTTTGAAACTTTTGGATCGCAGGAGAAGAGAAGGATCGTGGTTGACAGGAGTGAGTTAAGCTCAGAAACAGGAAGAAACAAACGAACTCTTGGGCAAACATCTATTCGCAAGATGCCTGTTGAGAAAAGTCGCCTGATTGTACGTGCTACGGAAGCAGAAAATGGATACAAACATAATGAAAGATGTTGACTATCTTTGTCAGAGATTATCTCGAGCAACCAACTGCAAGTCCACCACATTCAGAAAACATTTGCACCATGAAACATACCTGTAACCCCTCGGGGTTTAGAATCTTGATGGCCGCCGGCGTGTGCTCCAGCCTGCCCAGGTAGACCTGCCCGAAGCCGCCCTCCCCCAGAAGCTTCGCCGGGCTGAAGCTTTCGGTGGCCGCCTCTAGTTCGCGGAACGAGTACGTGCGGTACTGCCGCTGCGCTTTCTGCCGCTCGAGCAGTTCCTGCAGGGTGCCGAGAACGAGTGCGGCTCAGCGGTATGTACCGCAAATTCGAAGCAAAGCCGTCTAGAGGCATGGGTTGTAAGCTTCCTCATCAGGAAAGACTGCAGTCGGGTTTCGATTCAGGAGACGATGCTGGTGGCTGAGTTTCTCGTGCTTAGTCACCTCAGAGAATGAGTTGCGAATTGGGCTTCTGCTGAAAGGTGTCGATCTAAAATCAGGACGTATCTTCGATGAAAAAGTCCGATGAACCTAACGTTCCTTCTCAAACGTTGATAAAGAGTATCTGATGAAGGAATCCGACGACGATATCCAACGACACTGAAGTAGCACAGAGTCAGACCTCCGAATCAACATTTGAATCCATGCACTTCAAAACCTCGAAACACCCTCTGGAACGGCTGTCTTGCTTTCTGCACTACTCACCTTGTAGTGCTCCGCCGCCTGCTGCCGCTCCGCGACCCGCTCCTGGCGTTCTCTCTCCGCCGCTTCTTGCGCCGCGCGCTCCTTGTTGCGCGCCTCCTGCTCCGCCCTGCGCGCGAGCGCGCTCTCCTGCTTCGCGAGCTCGCGCTCCTGGTGCGCGGCGAGCGCGCGCGCGCGCTCGGCCTCCGCAAGGCTGTTTGCCGACAGCGCGCGCGACTCGGCCTCGCGCAGCTGCCGCTCGTAGTCGGCCTGCTGGGCTTGTAGCCTGGAAAAGGCGAAAGCGCATGATTTGCGGTTTGTTTCGAAGCCCGACTAAAGGCACGGCAAGGCAGAAAGCATTCTGGGCTTGCAGCTTGGAGACCGTCCAAGATTTCAGGTAGTTTTGTGTTCGTGTCGCAAAACGGAAAAAGGTGATCGAAAGCATGGCAACGCCGAAAGACCGCTGCGCGTGCAGCCTAAGGGACGCAATAGGCGGCTTTACTGTATTTGTAACGCGAGAAAAAGGAGGCACGCCAAAGGCGAACGGATATGACGGCCCAGGATCCTTCGAGAAAATCTGAGCACTCCGAAGGTCTGTTGTCAAGTGAGCCATTCGCTCCTGGACGAGGAGAGAGAGTTTTAGGACTGCAACTTTTCATTGGATCGGCTTTGACAGTGAGGAGCGGAATCTTTCCGACAAACGACTTGCAACATTCATTGCCTCAAGCGCCTTCCTTAGTTCCCGCTCACCTGGCTGTCGCTTCCTCCGACATTTTCAGCTTCCTTAGAACCTCCGCCAGCTCGCCGTTGTCAAAGCGCGCCTTCGCCGGTCCGTTGCTAGCCGGACTCTGCCCGCCCCTCTCTCTTTGTCGTTCCTCGTAAATTTGGAATTCAGGCTCGTCACCAGACAATTGCTGACCGTCGCTGTTCACCCAAACCTGAGGCCCGGTTGCCATGTCCGCACGCTCGAACCTGCTCCCGTTTTGCGGGCCGGCATGCCCGTTCGCGGACGTCCTTGGAGCTGGAAGAAAGCTACCCGACTCTGTGATGATGTATCCGCTGTAAGACTGCGCGTATAAGTTCGGGGGTTGGAGGCCCCCCTGGGGAGACGGCCCGGGCTCGCTGTAAAGCGACCGGGGGCTGCTGCTCGGCTGGGAGTGAGGGCTTGGAATAGAACCCCAGGGGTGTGAATAGTCTCCGGGGGGAAGAACCGGGGCGCTGGGGATGGCTACTGCGGGGGTGGCCGGAGGGGTGTGTGGTACAGTGACGGTCTCGTTTCGGGGGAGTGGGGACAGGGGGATGGGAGGGAGTACTGGTGGGAGTACGGATGAGGGTGAGGCCGTTGGAGAAGGCGTGCTGCAGGGAAGGAACGTAGTCTGAGTTAGTATCTGTGTTGTGGTGGTTTCAGCTACTGTTAGAGCGGAGCGGCTAGGCCAACAACCAATAAGCCAGGTCACTTGAAGTCTGTGATGTACAGGTGGCAGATCAACTTTCACAGACATACGGCCTTCGCAGTCTCGAACAATCAAACGTTCTGATTTGCAGAATGATAGTTACGGACTAGATTTCAGAAGACCCTAGCAACGGGCAACTGATTTTTCTAGATCCCTGCATCGTAGAAGAGTTAGCGACTGTGATACCCTAGCTGATCAAGCATGCGGTCTTACCTTGAGCTCGAACCATCACTTTGCGAGCCGTTGGCTGCTCCTGAACCTGCTGCACCCCTCTTTCCGTCATAGATGTGAGAGGTTACCAGCTCCGCCCTGTTGTTGATGAGGTATACGCTGCAGCGAGCGTGCTTCGCCACCCGTGCAGTCAGGCTCTTCCCCTTCAGAAGGCTGGAATGATGAGCACAGCACTTCAGGTTCAATTCTCAAAAGTCGATCAAGCAAGAATCCTGGGCTCTCAAACTGAGGTTATGAACCTCTGCTCAACTGTCACAAGATCCTTTGTCAGCTGGGACTCCTGAATAGATTCACGGAGTTCAGTTTCTTTGGATTTCGATCCGACGACCGCAGGCCCTTGATTGTTAGTTGCCTGGGGAGGTTCTGCTGCCTTGTTGTTGTAACCTCAGAATTGCAGGATTCAGGTCAACAAGAAGCATGGCAGCGAGTGCTGTCCACCTTCGTGACTTCAAACAACAAAGTTGATGACAGGTTGAGAGAAGCCAGTTCATCACAGAACCAAAAAGCGCTCCCTCACGTGGTGAACTTGGACTTTGTGCTGCCAGTTCCCATTACGAGGTGCGTGGCCCCAGTCTCTTCCACCAGTGAAAGGATGCCCGACTCACGGTCATCGCACCAGCGAACCATGAAAGAAGCGGTTACCTGGGGTTGAGAAGAGGTTCATCTTCATGTCAATTTGAATGAAGTAGACAATTCTTAGAAGCTTAAACGCAAAGCCGTTTGAACACTCCCGAGAATGTTGATCAAAGAACAACAAAATAGCTCAAGAAGGCATGTTCCTGCCAAATGAAATTCTAAGCAACTTGTGCAGAAGCGGGATCCGACTGTTGCGTAGAGGGAGTGCTGATTTTAAGGGAGCGCTGATTCTGGTAGTTGGGGCTTGGTGGCTTAATTTTACATGCAGCTCTGCTTGAGGAGGCCTGTTGCAAACTTGACTTGTCGAACAAACAAGATGAAGGTGCCAACCTCCTACAGTCAGAGCAGTGTGAACAAAGTATTGTGTCACAGAACTGATGAAAAGACGAACACAGGGCATTAACCTTGCTGGTAAACTCTAAAACTCCTGTCCTTCTAATCATAGCCACAAGACAGAGACTGGACACTTTCAGATGCAAAGTGGGTTCTTCTTGCTTCCAAGCACTGAACCTTCATACGTCAAGCTCAGAGCTCAAGCTCCCCTTGGCTCAGAGAATTTGGTACCCGCCGCCAGCCTGAGCGGTTGACTTAGTGTCAACGAATTGTTGGCGCAACAAAGCCGAAGTTATGTTTGCTCATGAAGTTTCTATGGACCAACCCATGGGGATCAATGCAAAGGCAAGGAGCCTCACCTTCTTCTCCTTGCAGACCTCTTGGTAGTCCTTGAGGAAAATCCCTGCCTTCTCTGTGTCCACCTTCAGGTATGCATTTTGGAACTTGTCCTCCGCCCAAGCAAAAGGCACTCTTCCCACTGCATTTAAAGAAATGAATGTTCAGCATCCTTCAGTCAGCATTCTTCTGCATGCCCTTCTTTGGAGGACGTTCGGTCAGTACGCAGATGGAGGCCACCCACCCTCAGCTCGCTACATGCAAATTTATCTTGAAATTTTCGAGTTCATGGATCATTTCTGGTCAGAGCTTGCTTCAAAGAACTCAAAGCTATGAAGGCGACTGTAACTGATGATGCCATTAGAGGAACACTGCGATTCAGCAAGGTCTCTTCTCAAAAGAGCCACTCTGATCATTGAGTTCAAAAGCAGACTCAACAGACTGAGTTCGAAAGCATTCAACAGACTGAGCTGAACAAACCCACACAGGCATCCACTTGGACCAGAGGCCTCCAGGGGGCTCTTAGGGGTGCTGTTCATACTTACTGGCAGTTGGAATGAGGTCTGGAAACTTCAGGACGTGGCCAAGAACCGCCTCATCTACACCGGGTTTTATGAAAGTAGTAATTGCCCAGTGCAGGGCCGCCTTGCATTCAGTATCTTTGTTGTTCTTCAGGGCAACGAGGACCTTCTTGACTTCTTCAGGGGCAGCCATGCTGGCTGGCTCCCAACTGCTCAACCCTGGTTTTCAACAAACTCTGGCTAATTTTGCAGCATATGCTCTAGGAATCCTCTAGGAATGTGTCTCAGCCTCTCTGCCCCAGCAATGTGCAGACAGGAATGACCTCAACAACGACTTTGCACTAGACCTGAACAACTCGACAACAAATTTGACTTGCAGCGCTTGAATTCAGGGTTTGCTCGCCAGGACGAAGGCCCTGACCCTGACTAAATTTCCAAAGGCCACCGATCACTCCGCAGTGCTGAATGGATTATTCCTTCAACCTCAAGGGATCGGCAATGATTTGGAGGAGGAAGGTACCGGTAATTCCAGATGAAACTTCTGCAAAGAAGCGCACCTGGGCTTCAGCTTCTGCCGCTGCTGCACTTTTGAAGGCAGCAAAGGTCAAACACACTGACACACTCCCTTTGTCAACGCAATGCAAGCTGCATTTTTGTGCATCTTGGCGTCATTCTCAGCTGTTCAAGAACTTGAAGATGATGAGCTCGCTGCGTGTCCTCGAGAGTGAGGGGGGTCCCCGTCCGACAAAAGGCAACTTTAGTGTGAAAACCCGTTTGCCACCTCTCTTCGCGCGTGGCACCGGTTATAGTCCCCGGGAGCTTACCCCGAGATGATGCAAGCGCTCACAAAAGGGCCGGAGAATTACGCGGAGAGATTGGTCGGTTCCGGTGTGCCGGGCCCGACAGGTTGGGGGCTGGTGACGTGACTGGGGCTTCAAAGCACTTAGGAGCCAATCAAATGGCTCAGCTTGGAATCTTGAACAGAATCTTTGCATCTCATTGCCTGCTCCGCTGGTGGGAATACCCTACTGAAATCAAGAATCTCAAAGTACTCAAACTCGGAACTTCACAACTCTTGTCCAACGAAAGTCGTGGACAATCTACAAAGGAAAGCTCGTGAGTCGTGCCATTGGCATGGGCCACACAGAAGTGGTGTCCTGTCGAGCGCACTCCTACCGGTAGTCCCAGTCCTGGCTCGTGGAGGAGAACGAGGTCTCAGCATTCGTGGCCTGTAGGGCAGAGCTTGTGCTGGTGATGGAGAAATGGCTGGTGTATGCTGTTTTGATCATCAGCATGTGCGCTGTTCAAGCTCAGCAAACGATGACTATCCTCAAAGGAGGTGACGCCGCGGTTTCCGATTTTGATTTGATAGTTGATCTTTGTGGGGATGTAGGATTGAATGCTGAGAGCAGTGTGAATAAATCCTCAACCTGAGACAGAGCACGCATTGCTGGTTCAGCAGAGCTTAGCCAGATTGCTGTGATCGGTCCTGTTCTGCTTCGGCAAGAAGTCAGTATCTGCAGTGCTTGCAGTCCGAACATTAGGGTTTGGAGACAAACTCATTCTCCGTGCTGAGCTGTTGCCTGAGGACCTTGAGTATACGGATTTCAAGAGAATTAAGAGGATTTCCTCTCCTTGCTGTGCAGGTCCCCTCACGTTTTCGGCAGGTCCGAACGAGCCCAAGTACGCAGTCAATTATGTTGACGAGGGGAACACAGAGATGGAGGGCGAGGAGGTGACGCAACCTTTCTTAACATCGTTCTCTTTGGCAATTGTGGACTTTGATCGTAAACGAGATGATCTGTAAAATGTTGTACGGTTCAGAGCTTGTGAACTGTCCTTGTTATCTGTTTGGCTGGGCAACGGGTCTGCACTCAGTAGGAAGCTTGTCGAAGCGCCGATATCAGAGCTCTCTGGGAATAGGCTTATCCTTGGGAGTAAGGAAGCTTTCGAGCAATTCTGCCTTTTTTGCTTCATCTGGAATGGCTGACCACTGATTTTTATTTCTTCTTCATCTCCCGCACCGCCCGTTCATATCTTATCTGATCTCTACCCGGTTTTTCCAAACTCTATAATCCAAACCCGCACATGCCCTGTACACTCGGATAGAGGCCCCAGCGAGCCGCATCTTCCTTTTCAAAAGTCCTGATGACCGGCCAGCTTTTGTGACTTTCAAGCTGCACATAGGGGAAGAGGAAAGGATCCCTCTCTCTCATCCGCTTGGAGCTATTCCCGAAGCTGTAGCCTGCTCTTTGTTGGTATCTTCTGTTCTTCTGCCTTTTACCCAGAAACACTCATCATGGTGAGATTGAGACGATACTTCCAGGCACATGCATTTATGTTCAGCAAGAGAGGGGTGACGGCACATATACCCTCTTCCTCTCACAGACTCACACAAAGGTCGGAACGACCACTTCACATCAATTCTTCACCCTCTTCTTTCGTGGTTTGCAGACCTCTCTCCAGAAGGTTGTGATGACTGACAAGGCTGGCAAGAAGTTTCTCTGCATGCTGCCTGAAGTTAAGGAGGACGAAAGCGAGGGGCATAGCTATCCGTACGCACGAAGGAGCGAAATCAACGGCAGCACCGAAGGGGGGGAAGGGGGGCCACACAGGCAGCAGTCCCCAGGGGAGGTCCTGAAGGGTCATCGCAATGTGTGCTTCTACCTGGTGAGGGCAAGGGGGGCGTCGTGGACAGTCGAAATGTAATTCCGGTTCATGTTTCTTTGGATTACTTTGACATCAAATCTGCTTCCTCTTGAAACGACTTCGAACTTTAAGCCCAATTGATGCTCCTACCTTTTATGAAGCTTTCGATTTCATGTGGGACTCTGCTCTGCGACACTCCTTCGAGAACTCAGATGTGGCTCTGATGTACCTGTCAAAATTGCGAGAGGTTTGACGGCTTGGCCATTGAAACTAAGAGAATGGCTTTCCAAGGCCTAGTAAAACTGGAAGGTGGATGTCCATTTTTATATTGGTTTATATTGACTCGTTTGGTGAAAGGACACGCGCCCTTCCGGTATGTGTTGATTTCTGTTTGCAACACTGTAGCCTCACTTTGATCGGCAGCCTTTTCTTTAGCAGTCATGCCAGGTCAGCCCGCTCGTCTCCTCCTTTAGCTGTCCCATTGCTCGACTCGAACGACACGAAAACACTGCACGTACCAGTTTACGGGATTTATGGCGGAACGGCAAGTTTATGGCAGGATTAAAATGGAATTGAGGGCGATGATGCAGCGCCACAGTCTTGGTGCTTTCTCCTGCCATAGATCTCCATCTCTGACCGTTGGCCGAGTGTGGAGTCAAAGCACACTCGTTCAGCCGTTGCTCTATTCTTTGGCAGTAGTCTCGATTTTATGTTGAGTTACGGCTATGTTGAGTTAAGTCAGGCCCGGGGAACGGGTGGGGTTGTTTGGGGGGTTTAGGGTGGGTACGGGTGCGGAGCATGTTAACTTTGGGTTTCTGTTTTTAGTTTGTTTGTGCCCGGGGAACTGATTTTCAACATACACCTAAATCAACATAAAATCGAGACTTACTTTTTTGTCTCACAGATCGACGGCTGGTGGACGTACGAGTTCTGTTACCGGAAGCACGTTCGACAATTCCACAAAGAGGGGGACAAGGTGAGCATTCCAGGCCGTTCGAGGAAAGCGCACCGATGGGTTGAGAACCTGCAGTCACGCGTTGCGTTCTTGTTGTGGGGGCTTGACTCATTTCGGTGGTATTCGACGGCTGGCCTTGTGCTTCAGTTTCAGCGAGCGTTTTGGATGGCTTCGCTGATAAGTCTATGATCTTTCCGCCTTTTAAGTTTTTAGACCCAATGTTTTGCGTGGGGAGTGATCCTTTGGATTCTTTCGACGTTGGCATGCTCTTGAAGCCTTCGTTCGATGCAAAAACTGCTTAGCTTTGGTTGTATCCACCGGTTCATATCCAATGTCGGGATGGGCTGTCTCATAAAAGTTTCATAATCAGCATCGATATGCAACGGCCGAGCCTGGATGTGCCCACGGAAAATGGAACTGATGATGGCACCGAGACATGCTGCATGTCTTTATTCGACCAAAGCCGAAAGCAACAAGAAGCTGGCATCGATGAAATCGCAAAATCCACAATAGTAGCTGAATTACTACGCTGAGATCGCCATTAGTTCTAGTATCCGATCCCCGCAGGTGGTCGCAGACTTTTCTCTCGGGACGTTCGATTCGGACGCCACCGCGGCGCTCTCCGACGGGTCCGAAGTCGGTTTCCAAAAAGAGCCGCAGTCGGCAGAGGCCGCGCTGCGCTACTACAGCCAGGTGTACACAAACGGCACGTCGTGCGACCTGACGGATCAGTTGCGCCAAACCGAGGTACGGATTGAATGAGTTGATATAGGGGTCATGGCCTCGGAAGACTAATCCTTCAATTTCTCTCCAATTAGATTTAGTAAGCTCCTCCTCTAACACCAAGGATATATTCCTAAGAACACCTTCTTCGCACCCGTACCCACCCTAAACCCCGAAGCTAAGCCTACCCGTCCCAGGCTGGTTGGCTTACTCTATCTGAAGTTTGGCCAAGCTTCGCTAGATTGAAGTCTTACTTGGATCCGAGGGAAGCTCTCAAAATGCTGACGACTGCTGAAGGAACTCAGGTCGCTCTCCACGCATAAATCCTTGCGCAGCATTCACTCCGGTCGGTGGTGCAAATTTTGCAACTCAACTTTCGCTCCGACAGATCCTTTTCACTTACAACGGTCCTCAAAAGAACCCAGCTTAATGGGTACCTTCTGTGCAGGTCCGATTCTTCTGCTCGCCCGAGTCCCAGTCGTACTTGTCCGCAATCTTGGAGCCTGCCACATGTCGATACATCCTCAAATTCCACACGCCTCTGCTCTGCAAACACCCGTAAGTTGCGTCGTAACACCGCAGATGTTGAATTTCACGCTCGGCCAGAACCGGAAAGGTGCTGAACTTTCTTGTCGAGGGTACAATGAGGGCGAGGCTGCCCGGTAAAGGTTGTTCTGGTCTGAAACCTGCCTCTAGATTGGGCAGCACAGCACGGTCCTGTCCGCCACTCTCTAGAGACGAACTGGCAGTCCTGTTTCAGGAAAAGTCTTGCGTTACAAAGGGGAGTTAGGTTGCTGAGTCCGCTTGCGTGAACCCGACCGAGGGTGACTTCAAGGGCCTGGTTTTCTGGTTGCGGTGACATGTGCTTCTTCAGTGCTTGTAGAAATATAGTCCAAGGTGACCACACATGGCCATACTTGTACCTGTAATCTCCCTGTGGTGATCATTTCATAAGAGGCCGTTTGACGACTGCCAGGGCTTACCAGTAGACCAATGAAGCTAGAGCGGATTAGACGGAATTTACCCCAGCTTTTGTGAGAGGGCCCGCTCGGCTTCCGTTCGATCAAGATGGCCCTGATCATGGTAAAGGCAGCCAATCGCTAGCTCTTTGGGCGCTGTGCAGGTTGTACAGGCAAGAGACACGGCCGTGGAGCACGATCCACTGCCGACCCCACGCGGAAGAAAGCGCCGACGGGGCCAGTGGGCAGTCATCGATGCAGAGAACAGACGAAACACGTGACCTTGTTGAGAAAACATAATGCATTTTAGGCAATATTGAGTGAGCACGAGCATGAGCAATGTGGTCGATGGCTTCACATCATCAACTTTGCATGCACGTATCCCAGTCCTCAAGCACCGGCAGCTTTTTGATCCTATGATACGGTCCTGTCACGACGTTTTGAGAAGCTCAGTGTTCACACCATGCACGCGCCCGTGATCATCCAATGCATGGTACGTAACATTGGGCGGCAGCACTCGTGGCGCCGGGCGGCCTCCATAGTTGTGTATACATGCCATGTGCATGAGACGGCGGCGATCGGATCTCATTCACCAAGTAGCACCAAGTGATCATCACTAAGTCATGCATCTAGCTGGCATGCAGCCTGTTTACTAGCTGGCTACTAAAGCTATTGAGCATGGAGAGAATCCGGCCATGGCTTTAGCCGTGGCCGTGATCACTTGCATGTACGTGTGTACGTTGCTGAAGACTCATGCAGGTCATGACTGCGGGCCACCGCAATTATTATTTTAAGTACATGACAGAAGCCTGGAGTCGACATATAGCCAAGACACGTTCTCTAGCTGCATAAAATCGCGACGGACAGTTGGTGGCCATGGTGAGTTTCAATTGTACATCTTGTCGTTTGATCGCGACCTTTGCATGGTTGCTGTGCCTCTTCATATTGGTGGATATTGGACAATGTGATATATCCAGCCAGTGACTAGATGTCGGGCCTCTGCTAGCTTGCAGACCGGCCCCTTACATGAAGCATAATTACAGGCCTCAACACTCTTCTTCCACAGGGTTGACTGCTCCGCACGCGGATGATTCCGCCCCTTGATGAAAATTTCAGACGTGTTGCTTCTGCATCGATCTCCAAAGTGCACGCTCTTAATTCTATCCCTTCAATGGATCTTGTCAAGAAGTCGGGCTGTTTCCGTCGAAGCATGACTCGTACTCTCTATTGGTCTCGCAGGGTTACATGATCCGGGCCTTCAAGTTGGCCAGTCTTCAAATGCAGGCTTTGCAGCCAGGGAGCACATCCCGCTGACTGTTCTACCCGCATAACAAAGGCATTTGAAGGTCTTATACAAAATTCTACCTATAGGTATACAGAGACAGAAATTAAGTTGACTGTTTGATGCCACTGGATCCCGACGAAGACGCATCCTGCTTCTTTATCCCTTACCACTTGTATCCAGCTGCCGTTATAAAAGGCCGGCCGCGTCATGTTTCGTAAGTCTCAAGACTTCTCACGGAAGGCTACAGATCAACAAGCTACCACCTTTGGGATTGGTGCTCCTATTATCTTTCGACCTGTTATGGCACTGCTCGTGGGCTCCAGGCCCTCCACAGCAGCCTGGAGCCGAGACCACAACCTCTCCAAATCCTCACCGTACCTCCGCCGCTATCCGGCTAGCCGCTTTGTCCCCTCTTTGTCAGTGCCCTGGATTCCGCTCCTTCTCAATAATCACCGTAGTAAAAAGAATAACAATGGATGCGAGCCCCAAGTTCTTGACGGGAATTTGCAGCGCGCGCTCGCACTCGCGTTGTGCTTTAGTCTCTCCTCCCCTCTTTCTTGACTCCCCCTTCCTGCGCCCGCCGACAGTTGACCGCTCGTCAGTCTTGTCGTCTGCAAGGGTGACCAGGCTCTCCTAATGTCCTGCGCATGCGCACCAGTTGAGGGTCTGCGTCCTTTATTGCGTTTAATGATTCGTCTGTGAACACGTGACATTTCTCGGACACAAGTGGCGTCCGGAGAGTCACGGGGTCCATCTGGCGAAGTTAAGATGTACGAGAAAGATCTTTGAGATGCGGTACGCTCAAAGAAAGCTTTAGATCCGGCCGAGCCAGCCCGCTACGGATCTCCGAATCTAGACTCCTGACCGTATGTTGGCTGCAAGCACACCAATCCGTCCAGTTTTCCATTTCCATCAGGCGCAACTCTTTTGGAGGTTGGTGGTTGCTTTGAGGACCACAAATTCTCGAGCTCGGTATCTTCGGAACTTGTTTGGGTACGGCTTAGACTCTCTGGCAAAGAGTGGGGAACGCTTTGGGTGTCGGTTGTTGAGACTAAGGTCGTTTCTTGCCTCAAGAACCAAGATTGCGTCGAAGTGAGCAAACCGTGCACAAGCGACAGCGGACGGGGCAACGACATACAAGCCTGATCTTATCTTCCAAGACAAAATCGTAATAAATTCATAGCGAGAATCGACTCTTCGAAGTCAGTTACCTGTCTGTTAGGCTACGAGGAAACGCTGGACAGAGCGTCCTCCCCCCCGTTCACCGCCCCGTAGAGCCCCCGGCTAGCCTCCCGGGAGGCGGCCTCCAGGGCCGCGGTACATACCGCCTCTAGTTCGGGCAGGACCTCCTTCGCCAGATCCGCCCGATCCCGGCGCAGCATCGTGGCGCATCTGAGGCCCAGCTTGGCGACCTGCAGAATAAGGGATGGCAGTGCTAGGTCGCCAGATTCGAACACTGACCAGAGTGCGTTGAGCTAGAGGGGGACAAAAGTCAGTTTCGGAAGCCGTTTTACGAAGCTGGACTGCTTGAGACAAAGCGACGGTAAATTCTTGATTAAGGAGGGAAAAGGTCCTAGTTGGCGGCTGTGCAGAGTGGGTCGTAACAACCGCTTGGAAACGCTGGCGCAACAGGTCTTGGCCCTAAGCAGCGGAGCAGCGGGCTCTATGACGCGATGACAATTCTCATGTCTATTTGCAAACCAAGGGACCCCAGACACTCAGCTCCTTGTCACTCGACTCCATTTTCACATGATACACTTAGGAGTCCCCCGCAATTTTTCCAACCAGCAATCTCGTCGAAACATTCCAGAAAAACCCAAAAGTAGACTCAGCAGAACGGCCCTCTGTAGCGAAAGCCCCACACCGCTTCAAAAACCAAGGATTCCTGTAAACAGATCACAGTCTTCCCTGCGAGCGCACTCTTCATATATATCCGCTTTTGAGCGACAGCAGCTCACGAACGGCTCACCTTAGTCGCCACCTCTTCCGGCCAGCTCCCCGCCGTCCGATCGACCAGCGCCATGACGCGCCCTTGGTTGAGAGCGTCTTCGACGGCGCCCACGATCTGCTGCGGGGGCCGGTTGGTGAGCAGCTGGAGGAGGCATATGCCGAACGCGTAAACGTCGCTCTTCTGGTTGAACGTGCCCTGCTGCAAGTATTCTGCAAGATGCGACAGACTTTTGAGTGATTTAGTTTGATGCAGCCAAGATTGCCAGTTTGGGAACGGGTGAGTTACTTTGGGGGGTTTAGGATGGGTACAAGGATGCGGAGGAAGTGAATTTGACGAGCTATACTGTTAAATTTCGAGCTGATTGGTTCCAACGCTCATCAAGAGTCCGCAGGGTTAGTGCGCATTTCGTTGGAGTTGATCCCGGCAGGCGTTTTTCGGAAAGCAACGGCTGCAACGATTGTTCTGTATTAAAAATGCGCGGATTGATTTGCATCTCTTCTCTGGCGGCGGAGGCATGTTGCAAAAGACTCGGATCAATCTAGGGACAATCTGAAGGAATCGTAACAACCCATTCTACGGAAAGCTTTTAGTTGCGAAGTTTTCTTACCTGGGTCCATGTAAAGGAGCGTCCCCTGAGGGCGCGTGTCAAACATCAACGTCTGCAAGTTCCCGCTGGAACCTTGCGCCGCACGCGAGAGTACTGTAGTCGCAAGTTCGGGCGCCACTCTTGCCATGCCGACGTCACCCAGCTTGGCGGTGAGATGCTGGTCGAGCAGAATATTGGACGGCTTGAGGTCTTTGTGGATGATCATGGGACGAGAAGTATGCATGGCGCGCAGTGCAATCGCGACCTGCGGAAGAAGTGGTTAGGAAAAGGCTTTCAGGAGTTACTTCAGGAGCTCACTAAGAAAGTGCTTAGGGCCTTAACAACCAGAATCAGAAAGTGGAAGGTTTAGAGTGCAGGGTTGGACGGCTTCAGGTCCTTGTGGATGATCATGGCGCCGCTCAATCATGATCTGCAGACGAAGTGGTTAGGGGCTTAACCTTTAAGGGTTCCTTCTAAAAAACGGGAATCGGGTGGGGATCCAGATTCGGACGGCGGGGCTTTGTGGATGACCATTGGACGGGGCGTGTGCATGAAGCGCAGCGCAATCGCAACCCGCGGAGACAATGCTCAGGGTCTTAACCGTCAGGGTATATCTTCAGGGAATTGAAGCGAGTTTGGCGTCTAGAAATGGGTTGAACGGCTTGAGGTCCTTGTGGATGATCATGGGACGGGACGTATGCATGGCGCGCAGCGCGATCGCAACCTGCAGAAACAACGTTTGGGGTCTTAACCTTCAGGGGTTACTTTCTGAAGTCGGAGAGTTTAGAGTTTAGGGTATGATGGCTTCAGGTCCTTGTGGGTGAGCATTGGACGGGACGGGCGCATGATGTGCGGCGCACTCGCAACCTGCAAACGGAATGCGTAGTGCCTCAACCTTCGGGGGTAGGTTATGGCGAATCGAGATTCAAAGTTCGGGGTTAACCCATTTCAGGCTCATCAAATTGACCCGGGCCGTCGATCCTACACCTTCTATTAGCACCCCCGGAAGGTGTAGGATATTCTTTGGGCTAGGCGCAGAAAAGAGAAGAACAAAAGGAGCACCAGAGCGTGGGGGAAGTTGAGCGAATCGCAGCCCGTACCTCAAAGGCGATCCTGATCCTGCTCATGTAATCCAGCGATGCGGAGTGGTCCCTTCTGGCGAGGCGGTCCTCGAGCGACCCGTTGGCGCAGTACTCGTAGACGAGGCAGCCGCGCTCGGGGCAGCAGCCCATGAGCATCACAATGTGCGGGTGGCGCAGGCCACTCAGGATCTCCACCTCGCGCTGGAACTCGTCGGGACCCTGGAAAAACGGGTTACGTGGAGGTATGGGATTCAAATCGGTCGACAACATGTTCCTGGCGACGGTTTACACCGACGGTATACCTGAACTGTAATCTCCAAGAAGCAGTCCGTCGATTTCCCAAGTATTTTCTAACCCCGGCGCAGTACGCGGATGGCATGAAAACTTGGGGCATAGAAGGCGGATGGCGCAAGATACTTGGAGTTTTCACCTCGCGCTGAATTAAAATGGGGCTTGCAAAAGCGGATCCAGGAACGTGACTTAGTTGGTATAAATGCAATGAAAGCACTTGAATTGCGGCGGAATGCTGAAGAGAATTCGGTCATAAACTGGCACGTCATACTGGTTTGAATAAGAAGTGAGGGTCGCCTTTCTGGTTAGGAATCTGACACCCACCTGCAAACCCTCGGGGTTTAGGACCTTGATAGCAGCCGACCTGTGCTCCAGCCTGCCTAGGTAGACCTTCCCGAACCCACCCTCTCCAAGCAGCTTTGCCGGGCTGAAGTCATCGGTGGCCGCCTCTAGTTCTCGGAACGAATACACGCGGCACTGCGACTGAGGCTTTCGCCGCTTGATCAGTTCCTGCATTCGATCGCCGTCAAAATAAATGCGTGGTCTGGTAGCTTACCAAGGCGTTAGCACAACTTGAAACGTGATAGGACATGCACGGTTACTCCAGGCCCTCTACGGTGCTGAACGCCCGAACTTGCCCTACTATCAGTCCGGTCCGTCAAAAGAAGACTCAGACGCGCGGAGTGTGCATTTCCCGAGCTCTGACAATCGACGCCTTGAAGGATGGAGATGCTCAAAGAAGCACTAAGGGGTCGTCTAGGTCGTGTGGCCAAGTCCGTGTTTGAGCCCCGCTTGAAAAAGGTCGGTTTCCCAACGAAGAGAGAACGGCCGATGTCAGTCTCTGATCAAGTGAGCCTACGGAAGATCCCAACTTTTCTGTTCCTTATTCAATCAATGCCATTCTCAGTCATACGATATAAAGAGCAACCTGGTATTGGGTTCCGTTGACAACAGAGACTTAAAGTGCTGCGGATCGTACAGTCATGTATGTTGCGAAGCTACGCTCACCTTTTCTTGGCGTTCCTTCTCGGCCGCCTCCTTCGCCAGGCTGGCCTCCACCTCGCGCAGCTGCCGCTCATAGTTCGCCTGCTGGGCTTGGAGCCTGAAAGACACAAGTGCAGCGTACGGTCATTATGTCCCAAGAGACGGTGATGATTCAACGTCTGAAAGGCAGCTGATAAAAATGGAATGTGCCATTTCGGTACTACCGAGGAAGCTGCTGCTAAAGGCACCCTCGGAGGCCCCGACCAAGACATAGAAGTAGTGACTTTGCTTCGAAAAGTGGACCGAGCACAGAAGCACAACCCACCACGTTCTTTTACAGCTTGACGATTCCTCCTTCTTCTTGATTCCCTGTGGCAGCAGCGCTCAGACATTGCTTTCGAGATCGGCGCAAAGCAGTCCTCACCTGGCTGTTGCCGCTTCCGATAGCTGCAGCTTCCTCAGCACATCCGCCAGCTCGTCACTGCCCCGCACGTCCTCTTCCCGACCCATGGTTTCCCCCTCGACATACTCGCTATGCTCGGGTACAGATCCGGGCACCCGCTGACCCTGGCGGTTAACCCAAGCCTCCGTCGCGGTTACCGAGTCAGGAGTGCCGGTTCGGGACTGCAGCATTACCGGTTGAGAGGGGGATCCCTGAGGAAACGGCCCGGGCTTGCTGCTAACAGATAAGGCGCTCGAGCTGACCACTGAGCGGGGGGACTCGTTTGCGGGGGTGGACGGGCGCGAGTCGTGGGACACTGTCGAGGGAGGTATGATCGGAGGCAGGAAAGCCGCGCTGCAAAAGAAGGATCCGTGAACTGTCAGACCACTAGATAGTCTGGGCCGTTGTGATTGCCTTGAATTGAGTGCGCCTGCTGCTGGAGGCGCAACCAAACAAGAGTAGAATCTTGGCTCGAATCTTGCCCCTGAGCCGTCGAAACCCTGTGACCCCCATACTGCCAAAACCCCCAAGCCCCCAAAAGTGTGCACTCCTTAAACCGTTGAAAATTAAGACCAGTGGTCTTTGCACATGCACATTGTGAAGGAGGCTTCCAAGCCGAAGCATGCAAGTGCTGGCTTGACAAATCAACTCAACTTTGAAGTCATTGGATCAAGTTGGGCTGGCCTCTTCTTCAATCTTACCTTTGGCCCGGCATGTCTTTTCCGAGTCCACGTTTTGCTCCTGACCCCGCCACGCCCCTCTTCCCGTCATAGAACTGAGAGGTCAACAATTCGCCCCTGCTGTTGACCAGAAACACGCTGCAACGGGCTTTCTTAGCCACTCGCGCCGTCAGGCCCTTCTTCCGGAAACTGCAAAAAAATGCAGCACCTTGTGTTGAAAGAACGAGATTGGGCCTACTGACAGATGTCTGATCTCATGAGGCCCTAACAAAGATTTCAGCGAGCCAGTAAAGCTTTGATTTGTTGTGGTTTGTGAAACGATTAGGCCCTGACAAAGCCAGTGGAACTTCATTTGTTAGTTGTTTATTGAAAGAACCAGACGCAGAGCATGGACAATTGATGGAAGTAAATCGTGCAATATGCTGCCACATATGTGAAGACCCTGGAGAAGCACAACGACATGGGATACAGCAAGATTGAGCTCAGAGTTGGGGAGCAGATCCGCAGACCAGCTTTTAGAGACGATCACAAAACGTTGGATCCGAGTCAAAGTGAATCGGTGAGGGGCCTTAGGTAGCATTTCTTGCCGCTATGTTTGGAAGACCTCGGGCAAGACGGTAAAGTCAAAGGGCAGGTTCGCTTACGAGAACCCAGTCCTTCCGCCGGTCCCCATGACGAGGTGCGTGGCCCCGACCTCTTCGACAATCTCGAGCATGACTGGTTCGCGGTCGGTGCCGCAACGGATCGTGATGGAGGCTTTTACCTGCATTCTTAGGAAGTCTGCTCAGAACTTTGGTCATTTTGCCAAATGCTGTGCAGGACAGCTGGATAACAAGTATAACTAGTAAGAAAGCTGTTACCTGACTCTGAAGATGTTAAGAGACCTTCGCACCACGGATCAAGTGGGGTTCAGTTGCCCTTAGATGCACCCCAGAGCTGCGCTATCATTAGAGCACCAAAATTAGGCAAAAGAACATTCAAATTGTCAGGCCAACCAGTCCACCAAAAGAATGACAGGGGCCGGAGTGAAATCTCTTACGCTCTGTTGCTTGCAGACCGCTTGGTACTCCTCAAGAAAGATTGCCGCCTTCCTCCCCTCCTCCTGAATGTAGTCAGCCTGGCATTGATCCTCTGCCCACGCCAGCGGCATTGGTCCCTCTGCAGAACAGGAAAGCATCTATTGAGCGCCCTGTTATTCTAGAGAATCGGTCGTCATCTACAGAAAAGTTTTGAGCATTCTTCACATATTCTGATCAACAGAGCTTCAGGTTGAGATACAAGCTGTGGAGATCCTTGAGCGGACAACTGCATCAAGTATTACACACTGACAGCTAGAAATAAATTCGATGCACTCAATTCAAATCGGAGGGGTGTCACAAGAGTCTGAGAAGGAGACATAGCACTTCTCTAGCTGACCAAATGACTTCATGCCCGCAATGCATCGCTAACCGGCACAGAGGCCTTCAGAGTAGCACATGAGGATGTAGCTTACTAGGAGTTGGGATCAGGTCTGGAATCTTCACAATGTGCGCCAGAATGACTTGATCCACACCGGCTTTCACAAAGAAGTTGATCGCCCATTGCAAGGCCTCTCGGCACTCGGCACTTGTGCTGCTCTTCAGCGCAACAATCACCGTCTTGCCTGCCTCCATGTCGACCATGGCAGCTTCTGCGCGCACAGGGCCTGGTTTTATTCTTGGTGGTAACCCAATGTGACTGCTTCTACTCCAACTTGTGCATTTTAAGTTTTCTTGTAAAGGATGTCTCACATACGCTATGGAGAGGGCGGCAAATGCACCTCGATTGAGCTGCAGATCACGGCTGCGCTGAGCCTAGAAAGCTGACGACATCTTTTCCAAAGCTCAGATGCACCTCTCCTCCCTAGGCAAGCTACAAAACTAAAAGCTGAGCTTCCTAGTCAATGGATCTACTCCAATACTTCGCCTTGCTGCTCGTTTCCGTTGGACCTCTTCCTCTGACCTTCTGTCAGATTTCCTTTTAAGTTCTAGCTTGATCTTTACTGCAGTACTTCTGCAGGATCTCTTTCAGAACGCCCTTCTTCGGATCTTTCTGCGCCTAGACTCTACAGCCTGCAATCTGCACTACAGGCCAGAGCATCATTGTTTCGTCAGCTACACTGAGCAGATTCTGCTGCTCAAGATTTCATCCGGCATTCCGCAATCTTCGCTGGACTAGAATGGGACGTAGAACATGCAACTGTCGATCCCGAAACAGCTGGTGACATCAGCCCTGATCGGACGATGTAGAAGGCAATGTATACTTAGATCGGACGGTGAATTACTACCTGTCAGACACCAAGTCATATGATACACTTAAATGAAAGTTCAGAAGACGGTCAGGCGTTTTCGGAGACGGCCGCCAGTAACAGAGTTCGCGGCGTTTGTGATGCACGGATTCCTCGTCTTATTTCGCCGAAATCTGGCCAATAGCTTGCCGTCAAGATCCCGGTTGCATTTTCCCGGCAATATGATCTGGGTACCAAACCCTGTGTAAAACCTCACGAGCCGGCGAGCGGCCGCGCCACAGCCGCTCGCGATCGGTAGATTTGAATCCTTATGATCGATACCATGGCATGCGACCCTATCAAAGCGGAGATCCTCAGCTGCTGCAGGAGAGCCGCTAAAGGAGGTTGGATTTCGCTCCCACGCCACAAACTTTTGAAATTGGTCCGCGAAAGACACCAGTCTGTCAAACTGAAATTCGACAATCTCAATATCTGATCCGTCTGAGCCACGTCGAGGTGTAACCAGCGGCCGCGCACAACGGTCTGCCAAGCAAGGTAATTAACTGGTTGGACGATCATGCACTAAGTATAGAAACCACAATGTGAACAATCCGGTGTCAGTGTGAAAGAGTATCAACAACAATCTCGATGTTCCGAATGCATGTGAAGTATGCGCCCCAGCTACCATATGCCAGACGGCTTTGTGAAGGCAGGTGTTTTTGATCAATTTTGATTTCGATCTTGTATCATTGTGGTACGTTGCAGGCCGCCGGCCAGGCCCGCTTGACGAGCTTTGTGGAATCCTTCTGTTGCATACTGGTTGGCAAGCTTGGCAGATGCGCTTCCGCTCATGTATAGCAACACGTGGTTGAGCAGATTGGACGAGTCTTTCAGAACGGCTCATAATCTTGGCAAACTTATGCAAGGTTTACCTAAGTTGTCCATATCCAATTCTTGGCTCAAGCTGGCGCCCCTTGCAACTTGAACTTCTCTAGGACTCTTTGTAGCCGCGGTAGCTGCTGATACGCCGCCACGGATCGCCTTGCTTGCACTATTGACCCCACCTGCATGGCAAGGATGTGCGTCGTATGAACCCCTGTGGAACCCTGTTAACAAACCTTGCAAAACACAGGCATACCGAGTTCTAATGACTGCAGCGCCATGTTTGTGGTGTACCGCTTGTTTTTGTCCTTCTCAACAATTCTTTTTTAGCTTGAGCGGAATGCGCATGACTCGAACAGGAAGAGCGCTTACCAGAATGAGCATGGACGTGAAACCGATATTCTCGCCGCCCAGCATCGTCTGCCGAAAGTACGCGTCGATTTGAGTGGACACGATGGCCAGGATCCCAACCAGCATCCCCCCTGCAGAAGCCCAAACGTGACGTCAGAGATGCACACACATGGCGTCAGCGAAGCACAACAGCAGGCACAAGGAGGCGGCAAAGGTACAGAACAACAGTCCCACCGAGCATTCCCTCTGTAGGAGGCCAACCATGACGTCAGCAACGCACAGTAGCGTAAGAAAAGGAGGCGGCGGACCCATGACCACGAAAAAAGGATGAGCTTTTCGAAAAACCCTAGCAACGCCCGATAGGGAAACTCAGCAAAGCGGGACGCTCGCGAAGGGGCTTGGCCAACGCGTCAGCGGCAGTCATTGGCTGAAGCCATCAGGAAAGAGAGTTCAAGGAAGTAAGGCCAGCAAAAAAAGGGCAGCGAAGTGCCTCAGCAAAAGGCGTCAAAGGCGACGACGTTTGATACCTCGTCTGCCTGTGTCGTCTGCGCAACACTCACTTTTTGATAGATAAGATTCGCTTGACAGAACAAACAAATATCCATTTGGATGGCTGGGGGATCTCAACGCAAAGGACCCGTCAAGCGCTGGGATACGCCGCTGGAATGAGCGGTCAAAGTGAAGCGGCTGCTCACAACAAAGGCACAAGGGGCTCCGTATACAGCACGAGTACGTCGCTATCGACCTGCCTGGTTTCAACCAAGCGGTTGAACCAAATTCAACCAGCATCTCAACTCAAGATAGAAGGCCTCATAGAGGGCCTCGTAAGCGCTAAAGGAAAGGCTTTATAAGCGCTTGAGATAAGCGGTTGCTTACCCCAGAAGCGCGCGCTGGTCTGTACGTAGCGTAAGTATTGCACCGTTTGTCGCCCGGGCCGGATCTGGGGAACACGTGCCCCGATCTGATTGAGCCACTTGGACAGCTCCGTCGGGTTGTCGGACTGTATGGAGAAGAAGGACGATTCTGATGGGGCAGTATCGTGTCTCTCGTTTGAAGCAACTGGTGAACTCCGAAGGATAATCTACTTGTCGACCTTGTTCGACCAACAGATCGCCACAGGAGGGAGGAGGCTAGAAAAGCGAGAGGGGGATATGAAGTGTCCTGATGCTGCCGCTATTTGCAGATTCGTTGAGGATCGTTGACTTTCAGACATTTGTGAAAGCAACGCGTTGATACCTAGGGCGAAATAGAAACAAAGCCCCTTCGCCTTGAATACAGTGCCCAAAGGTCCTACTCTCGTAGTTCTACATGAAGCCGGGATCTGAACGGGCTGCTGAGGACGTCATTCCGCTGCTACCAGACAGAAAGCCAAAGAGAACAGCGAGGCCCGGTTCGGCATACTTACGATGTCTACCAGGTTGCACAAGAAGATGACGGCGAACGTGAGCGTTTGGAAGAAGACCGGGTGCTGAATCGGGTCCATCAGGGACGCCAGGGCACTGATAAACCGGTTACTTGTCACTCTGCAAGAAGTGGAAATGAAGGAGCGGTCAGTTGTGGTTCATAACTTATCTTGGGTAATCCCAGTCGCATACAAGCGATAGTCGATGTGTGTGTCAGAGGGTGTCATAGTGGTCAGAAGATATAAGCGATGATAAATGTCGCCAGCAGCCTTAAAGCCTGCCGTGTAGCTTTTGAGTCTTGAGGAAGGCGAACGAAGTCATCAACAACCGACAAACCAGAGAGTATCGAGGCGCTAATGGGGACCATGTAGCAAGAAGCCCGGCCCTTCCGTATCGGGGACTCCACGCCTTCAATTTCCATTCAGACAATCTATCCATACTTCAGCTTTGGTTCAACAAGCCGTGGTTGGATTAAATTCTCTCTTCCTACTGAACTTCCTACTTGGGTGGGAAAGCTTCGGACGCTTTGGACACTCCCTAGGTTCTCATGGATTCTAAAGAGACCGAAACAGACTCAAGGTTTCAGCAACTGATGGAAACGACAAAGCATGACTGAAGCAGTCGAGTCAAGCTCTTCGCCACAGAGAACAGCTTCCCGCACCTGCAAACGCTCCTATAATGACAGCTGTGATGAGTCGCGTTTAGTGCAACACGATTCATCTTTAGTCAATCGTGATCAAAGTGTTTTGTGATGTATCAGAGGTAGAACGTAAACATGAGGTAGAACGTAAACATTTCTTACTATCAGTGATCAGAGTAAGGTGTAATACTTCAGAGGTGGAACATAAACAATCCATATAAGGGCAATGAATAACAAAAGGCTCACCCGGCGACGAACTTGGGCACCCCCAGAAAGATGCTGGCGACCATGATGGGCTGCATGCCCCCCGGGTTGATCAGAATCGGCACGTACTGGTCCTGCATCACGTCGTGCAGGGTGCTCCTGCGAACACCAAGAGGTTCAAGAGGTTTAGCGTTACGTGTAGCTTCTGCAAAGCCTTTGCTTTTCGAATTACCAAGGGGCCGCTAAAGCAAGACTCACGTCGTGCAGGGTGCTCCAACGAACATCAGGAGGTTAACGGAATTTAGCGTTACGTGTAGCATCTGCAAAATCTTTCGTGTTCGAAGGGGCCGCTAGAGCAAGACTCGCGTCGTGCAGGGTGCTCCTGCGAACATCAAGAGGTTCAGTTGCTTTAGCTTTACGTGTGGCCTCTGCGAAGTCTTCGGTTTCTTAGTTTCGAAGGGGCCGCTAAAGCAAGACTTACGTCGTGCAAGGTGCTCCCGCGAACACCAAGAGGTTCAAAGCGTTTGGCATTACGTGCAGCCTCTGCAAAGTCTGCGGTGATTTGCAGATCTAAGGGGTCGTTAAAGCAAGGAGTGCGTGACTGTCGGGCCGTCCTGGACGGCTGCAGTGACGGTTTCAATGTTTTGCTGAATTGGTGCGCTCTCGTTCGGACACTCCTGGATTCGGACGTCCACACTTTAGAGGCCTCCATCACGGGATGTTGGGCCGACTGCCTTACTGAAATCTAAAGAATTCGATTCTTGAGTATCAACTACTTTTAGGGTTCAGAATCGGGGTTCCGGGCAATGGGCATGGCTACTCCGAGACCACAAACTAGTCCCGAGACCACAAACTAGTCCCCAAATGGTTTGCTTGGGGTGCGGCGCAGTCAGAATCTGGACCTGCGCAAGAGTGATCCAATGTGCAAAGCGTTCAAACAAAATCGAGGCGCGGTTACGGCTCACCCTTGTACGCCCTCTTCTAGTTGGTAGAACGCGAGAGGGACCTTCCTAACCCCCTGGGTTAAGAAGGCCGCCCCGATTGTCATGATGACGACCGACCCGAGCCAAACTCCCATTTGCGAGAGCGTCAGCGTGCGTGCTGCGAAAAAGGGCAAAAAGTATCAGACGCTCGTTGCGTCCAAGCAATTGCGGACCTCGATGAGTTTGCAAGCAAGAAAACTTGACCATAATGTCGGAAAGGGAGCACTCCCCAAAATCGAAAGGGATAGACAGCACTTTGACGCAAGAAGCGAGGCATGCGTTCCGAAGACAAGCATGCTTCTAGGCTGATGAACAACGGACAACAACTGGTACGTCAAGAAGAAAGGAAGGAGGTAAACTATCCCTCTGTCGGAATGCAAGGCGTATCTAGTACGGGTACCGCGGAGCCGCCCCCGGTTTGCAAGCACCGTCCCCAACTACAGTAACAGTTCAAGAGGAGGCGCGAACAATCCCGTCTCAGTGAGGCGACCCCTCACCTTTTAGATTGACAAAAACGCTGTGCAGGAACTTCCGATACCCCTCGAGGATGCCCAGCGAGATGATGACCGACGAGCCTTGCCCTGCAGGATGACCGCCGGGGTTAACGCCGGGTTATGCTTGAAACCACGTTCTGGCTTGATGAGTGTGAAAGGAACGGTTTTGCCGATGTCCCTAAACGTAACCGAAAGAAGTGGCGAGACACCGACCAGCGGGCACAACTGAGCTTGTCGACGGGCCAGCTTTTTGCTAGGTGCGTTGCAGGCGACAACCTGATATCAACTTACATCGGTCCTCGCACTTGTGATTGTTCGTATTACGAGTGACAGAAAAACCAATCGAGTTTCAAAATCGATCTTCGTTTGAGTTCGTGTATGGTTGCACGCGAGCAATCATAAGAGATTGTCAAACCATTCCGGCACAATCCTCTGGTGTAACAAGGGATTATATCCCGAGTGCCTTAGGACACATCTGAACAACATGAGGATTGAACAAAAGCCCAAACAAGACTCACCGAATCCGAGTTCGCCGATCTGTTTACTGAGCCATGAGAGGACTTTTGCGCCCAGCAACAGGAGGCTCACGGTCCACAAGTAGTACGAGAACCTGAGACAGCATACGTTGGGTGTCAAAAAGGAGACAAAAGTAACCTAGTTCGGAGTACCCTGTTTTGGGGTGCTGGATACCTAATCACGCCTGCTCTACCCTGACAGGACTTCGAGAACATTTGAGCACTTTCTGCTCAAAAGAACAATCAAAGGCGCCCAGTGCATCAATAATTTGAGAATTTTAGTATCAGTCCGCCGCACCCTAAGCAAGACGAGAAGGTCAAAAGCGGACCGTGTGGTCGACTTACGGGGAGTCCTTGTAGTAGATTGCGTGGGCTCGGCTTGTGAAGGCCACGAAACTGGCTTGGAGTACGGCTATGATGTCGGCACACCTCTTCCTGGATGCCAAAAAACACAGTGGGTATTAGCGGGTTGGAGGCGCGTCTTCGTTCTTCTGAATGTCTACTTGAACCCGCGAAACGGCTGAAACGCCCGCGAATATGCGGGTTACGGTGACCTACAGTTGGTCAATCAGTCAAGTGACTACTTTGCACAAAAGAGTGATAGATCCTGTGCAGTGCGCTTTATCGCTGGCTACGACTTTTTCCAACTCTCTTCCTAGAAGCGCTGATTCGGCAGAGCCATTACATTTCTGCAATAGTTTGTTTTCCCAAAGCTTCTTGGCCATCTAACGGCCAAGTATTGGCCAGGCCAATCAAACGTTTGTGAAACGATAAGACCAACAAAACATCAAGCGGATACAGGCTACAAAAGCTGAACAAGATCCCTGAAGTTCGTTGAAGATTCGAAGAGCTCACATCTCCTGCTTCAATGCTTCATTTCCGTCGGGCCCCTCTTCCTTGAGCGTCTTCAGGTATGGAATCACGTTCGACAGGAAGGAGATGACGATGGACGCGCTGATCTCGGGGCCGACCCCGAGTTGGAAAATGTTCCACGGGACCTCTGCGCTTAGGTCACCCAGGGGCGCTGCAGGGTTAACACCTTGGTTAGTGATGGTTAAGTTTCTTCAACCGGGCACGACAACCTTAAACCGGGCACGAGATTCAGGTGCGAATGATGAATTCACGGGTGGCTGTGTGAACGGGCCAACAGGGCTACGGAAACCCCTGGTGGTGGACTTTACTAACTGGGAGCTCGCAATCGGATTCGTCCAGGACTTAGCCTTGAGCTTCCTTGACAGAGACTGCGTTCAAAGTACGGTTTCTGTGTGACTGCTGACGTAACGGGCTCTTGGCATGCACAAAATATGAGTTTGAAGGACCGAATGCCTGGCGCTTACAAGGTCTTTTCGTATGAAGAGTAAAGCTGGCCAATAAAATCTTACGCGGGCCAAATCAGCTTTGCTGAAAAAGACCTCCCGCTCCTAAGCGAATGAAGGCGTACACACCGCGAACAAGTCCGCCAAACTGACCTACATAAAATGAACGTTCGACTCATCCTGTGACTGCTGGCAAAGAGGGTCAACATGGCGTCTCCCTGCTTCAGCCAGGAAAGAAACAAGATTTTCTGCTCACAAAGTGACCCCGAGGCGAGATCCATGGCCGTGCTGTGGAAGCGCCGGTCGAAGCCGGGCAGCGGGATGTAGTACCCCCCCCTCACGACAAACATGATCGCCAGGGTCACAAACAGCCGTTTCCGCAGCTCGCTTTTGAACAGACCGTCGAGGAAGTCGTTGAACTGGATACCGAGCTTGGTGAGCTGGAAGAAGAAATACTTTGGCTTGGGGGGTGGCTGAAAGGACTGAAAGTCTGGCAGGCTTGGGGCGGAGGTGGAAGCGTCGGGGGGGTAAAGCCGGTCGCGGAGCTGTGGGTCTGCACAACAAAAGAGGTTCAAGGACTACCAATCAGGTGCCAATCTGTGCAGCGGCCTGAGGTTGCTATTCTGAGCACCAATTTTGCAACATTTCAGATGGTTCTGTAGCGGCTGACCTGTACATTAGCCTAGAAGGGTCACTCAGAATTGTGAACAAGCGTAAACCTGCGAACGAGTCTGCAGCAAAGAGGATCTTGGGATGCTATCTGGCGCGCTTTCCGAGCCCCTGTGTCTACCGTTGAGACGTTCTAGAGGATGCTGAAAATATACGGAGAAATATACAGACAAGCTGATGCTAGTCCCGACTGCCAGAATTGACCAGTGCTCCTCTGATCTTCAATCTAGAGAACTCAATTTCTTCAACTTAGAGAAGGTCAAGGGGCCTTGATGAAATGGTGGTGCGCCCTTGCAAGAAAAGACTTTCTGGAAGAGAAGCTCAGAGACAGACATATCGGTCAATTCTTCATTACTCAACACCTTATCTTTCTCGCCAGATGCAACTGATGCCACCGCTTTGGTTTTGAAAGGTGGTGCGGTGATTTAGAAGAGAGTTGCGCAGCAGCAAGCTTGTGTGTCATGAGGTGCCGGCAGCAGCACATTCCTTTTTAACAACAGTTCTGAGGAACAGAAAGAAACTGCTGTGGAAACGGGGTTTTCGGACTTCAAGGTGTCTAATGCACTAGCATGAGGTGCAAGAGGCCACCATGGTTGCAAGTACTTCTTCACTTGCCTTCAGAGTCATTGTGGACAAAAGGGGTCCCCATTTGATCGACCCCAGAGATTGCTTCCGCTCGAGTGTGCACTCTTCTCCGCCGGACTCCCCTCCATCCCCACCGCTCAGGCCCCAAAACATCACTGCCCTCCTCTTTTGAAATTTTCAACGTGGCCCTTCTTGTTTCATTGGCAGAGTACCTCCTATTGCGCACAACTTTTGGGAGAATGCAACCTACACTTTCCTTTCTATCTGTATGAAAAGTATCAGAGTGCGCTAAAGCCAACGTCCGCTGCTTCAGCGTGCAGGTTGAATTTACGCCGCCACAAAATGATTGCCAACTCCCAAGGTTGACGGCTGCACGCGCTGCCATTATGAAATCTCATGAGGGGTGAGCAGAATCCTGCTTATGCATCAAATAAGAATGATGCACCAACCCCTTAGCTTAGTCAACACGTGCGCAATGCCTCCACTGCTCCATGAAGGAAAGTGGTGCTTCCGAGTTCGTTCATGCCCTTCCTTTTTCGCTACCTCCTCTTTAACACCATGAGCAATCTGCGTGATTACTTTGAGTCTACAACACGAGTACAGTGTCAAGAAAGCTTCGAGCATGTTGCTTGCCACTCAGAATCCATGCTTTCTAAGTTTCTTCTCTCCTTCCAATGCTCAGTCAGATTCAGAAAAGCGACAATCAGATTCGACAATCTGTCCTGAGAGTTCATACTTCGCATTTAATAGTATTTGGGGGACAGGATGCGATTTGGAGACTTTGTTGTGGGACCCTCCAACCATTGTGAAAGTTAGCGGACTTGACCTGCCTTGAGTAAGCCCGTTTTCCTGTCCTTTTTATTCGTTCATTGGTGGTCAGGGGCGCCAACTTCTTGAAGTGGATTGTTGAAGACGTTGGTCAGCAATGCAGATTGGCAGGTTCTCAATGCCGCTTGTGTCGGCTTAATGCAATCGCCTTGCACCAATTTGTTCAAGCATGCAACTCCTGGTTGATTGATGCATCTCAAAACAACCGGAGCTTTTGAAGCAACCACCTTTTGGGCATCACTTAGCTGCTGTCCGTTGTTGAACAGTGTCTTTTGCAAGGAAATGAAGAAAGGTCACCATCAGCAAGATCAGCGCTTCTTGGTTTGTGTTGTCCCCCTCCGTTTTCGACACTGAATGCAGAAGCCAAGCATACAGAAAAAGTCTTTGCTCTCATAAGTAGAGCAGTTCACGGATGCGTTGCAACATAGAGGTACTTTCTTGATGCTCCCGCGGATCATTTCGCCACCTTAATGTATATACTTTCTCTCTCAACACCTGGACACTATTTGCTCCCCAAATGCAGGCCTGCCAGGACAACCTCTTAAAGGAATCAGACACGTCCGTTTCTTTTTTGTTACCTAGATCACCAGGGTGCGGGAGAGGCGGCCACCTGCTGACACCTAGTGGTGGCCCTCATACCTCACTCTAGAACTTTTAGCAATCAGTGCACTAAGAGTTCAGACAATGGCGTCCTCCGCGGTAGCCTCCTCAGCGATGGCCGCCATTCGCTCTTCCACCCGTGCTGTACAGCCGACTAGCCTCAGCTCTCAACAGGGGCGCCACATCGTCCGCTGCTCTCTTTCCTCACTCCATCTGCGCCTCTCGCCAACCTTTCCTTCACAGAAGCAGAGTCTAGCTTTCCTGCCTCCTAGCTCGCTACGCTCTGCTCTTCATCCGCCCCACCCCTCTCAGTTTTCCCAGTGGAAGAAGCTCAGAGATGCAGCTCTCTTTCGGCCGCGCACGCTAGTCTCCTCCGCCACAGCCTCAGATGCGTCCCTCCCCCTGGGGCTGACTCGTGCAGCGGCCCCACTCCTCCCTCAAATCGACATTTCCCCCAGCGGTGCAAAGCCCGAGGACTACGCAGGGGACCTCTTGGTTCTGGGTTTGTTCTCTGAGGCTGTGACCAAGAGCGGCGATTTCCAGAAGCTGACTGCGACGGGGGTGCCGTATGGAGAACTCGTAGGGGAGCTAGTACAGGAGACGGACTTCAAGGGGAAGCCGGGGCAGACGGCAGTCGTCCGGGTATCCGGAGAGAAGGTAAGAATCTGCTTATCTTTCTTTTCTTGTGATTATTGAGGTTAATGTGTCCAGACGCAGGGTCTACAAGATCAGACTGGAGGGTATGTGCAAGAGATCTTCCATAACCGCAAACGTTTGTCTTGCTTGCTTGTTGCCTAGCATTGATCAAACAATCATCTGAGAATCAAATATCGTCTGCCAGTCTGATCATATATCTGTTCCTTTATCATCGACATTGACTGGATCACGAACTAGGCATGCAGGTCGATCGGAGTGAGTATTGGTTCCTGTTATGTCATAAAATTCCACTTGAAGAAGCAATACGAAACGTACATGCAGGTCAAGCGGGTTGCAATTGTCGGGCTGGGGTCGAGCAAGGAATCTAGCGTGGCGGCTGGGTTCCGTGCGCTAGGGCAGGCACTGGCAACGATTGCGAAGGAGTCTAAGGTGAGCCGATGAACTTTCAGATCAAATGCCAGTCACTCGTGCTTCTTATTGGAGTATCCTTCTGACAACAGCTGCCTATCTTATGTTTCGTATGACCTGCCTCAAAACCCAACGCAGCTTCACTCTAGAAGTCAGCAAAAGGGCAAGACCTTGCTTCGAAGCCCCCTTCATCAGAGACCACCCCTGGGCATATTCGAGCCACAAATCAAGCGCCGCCGTTCGGAGGTTATCGCTGCAAGGCCGGTTGCACGGGGTCCCTTCAAAGTCACGTTTCCCGATTACATGACTCTTTCATCCAGTAACCCCTTTCTTCCCGCGGGGCTTGCCAGCTCCGTTTCTGTCCCTCGTCGTCTTCTTCGTTTCCCTTCTTTCTCTTCTTCCTCTCCCTTCTTCCTTCTCTTCTTCTTCGTCTCCCCTGGTTCCGGAGCCCATCTCGACAGAGGTGGCTTTTCTGGGCTAAGCTCCGGTTTCCGGTTCAACCAAACAACTTTTGATAATCAAAGTCGCTCATTCTTTCCCCTCACCTTCCCCTCGCAGCACAGCTCTGAGCACAAAAATCGATCCTCTCCCCTATGATTCTTTGCAGGC